GATTCAGCTTCCTCTCTTAGAAGAGCCAGATTTATGCATTGCCTAGAGTAAGAAGGGTCTGTTAGACCAGGCTGGGGCCAGCACCATTTAACTGAGCCCGATCCTCCATCAGCACTCTGTTCTTCCCAGCTGTTTGATTTGTTCTTATCTGTCTCCGGTTTTCCCAAGAGTCAAGACCTGTGGTTTCCGTTGGTTGCCTGAGAGGTCCCTAGCACATTGCTGCAAAGCACAGAAGAGCTTACTCAACAGCTGGTGAGAGAATGAGTCACTGAGGGGCTTGCTGGACAGGAGCAGCTGGTACTTACCCATTCCCTTCAAGCCAGCAGCCCAGAGCCTCCCCAAGCACATCTCCTAACTCTTCCCTTGGCCTTCCTCATATAGGCAAAGTGGACTCTGTCTCTTTCCACAGATGGAAGTCCAAAGCACTGAGAAGGGTAGCTATTCATTAGGTTGCCCCAGGAGCCTGCAGCTTGCATCTGTGTCCTGGGCACTGTATGCAAGCCCCCTTGCTCCCTTTCTTCAGAAGGAAAACAGTATGATAAGAAATCAGCAACTAGGTAAGGTGCACACACTGTAATCCCAGTACTTGGGAGGCTGGGGCAGGAGGATCAGGAGTTCAACTCTATAGTTAAGTTCAAGGCTAGCCACTTTTTCTGAGCACATTGAAGCCTGAGTTCTAGACTGGATGCTAAGAATTCTGCGTTCTGTCAAGCATACACCAATAGCTGTGGCCTGGGCAGGTCCTTTCCCCATCTTGATCCTCACCATCCACTGCTGTAAATGAAGAGTTAGGCTCTCTCCTGAGCCCTACCATTCATCAGAACTGTTCAGGCTGCTTCATTCTCAGATATGCAGTTCTATTCACTGGAGGGGTCTGGGCACCTGTAGGGATAGGTTGAGGTCAGCTTGGCCAGACGGTCTTCCATGTCCCTTCAGCTGAATCTGGCACAGTTGGGTGACTATGACTATGGCTTCCCTGTGGAAAAGTGTCTCTTTCCCTTTTGTTCAAGTCCCACTCCCTGCCTCCCTTTAGACTGGTATTTAGCAAAAGAGAAGCAGACCCTCTGCTTTAGAACAGAGCTTTTTTTGTCATTGAAATAGGGTCTCCCTGTTGCCCCACCTGGCCTGGCACTTGCTATGTATACCAGGCTGGTGTCAATCTCACAGAAATCTGCCTTCCTCTGCCTCCTGAGTGCTAAGATTAAAGGCATGGGCCACCATGCCTGGCTAGAGCAGGGCTTCTTAAAATACTATTATCAAAACCCCTTTTCAGGACTGGAGGGATAGCTAAGCTGTTAAAGGCTCAGGCTAACAACAATAACACCCCCCCCCAAAAAAAAACCAAACAAAAACAAAAACCCTTTTCACCAGAATAATTTTTATGTAACTGAATACATAGGTATATGAAAAATAAATACAGATATTCAAATCAATCATTTATTAATAATCAAATTTATTTTAAGGACCAGCAAGATGGCTTGCCAGGTAAAGGTAATTAAAACACTTGTTGGGTATACATATGATTTTACTATTTATTAAGCGTTGAAGCAAATTTATATGCCAGTAAAAATGGATGTGCTTGCCAGGAGTGGTGGCACGTGTCTTTAGTCCCAGCACTCGGTAGGTAGAGGCAGGTGGATCTTTGTGAGTTCAAGGCCAGCCTGGTCTATATAGCAAGTTCCAGGCCAGCTGGGGCTACAGGGAGACCCTGTCTCAAAAAGACCAAAAAGTAAAATAAAATAAAATAAAATAAAATAAAATAAAATAAATGGATGTACTCATTTAATTTTTCATAAAGAATTAAATCTTTTTTTGTTGTTTGTTTTTTTTGAGATAGGGTCTTGTGTAGACTATGCTAGCATCAAACTTACACTGGGTCCTCTTGCCTCTGGAATGCATTACCTCATCAGACAAGAATTAAATCGTGGGCTGGGCGTGGTAGCACATGCCTTTACCAGTACTCAGGAGGCCGAGGCAGGTGAATCTCTGAGTTTGAGGTCAGCTACATAGGGTCAGAATTAAATCTTGGTTGAATATTTGATACTACAGAAAATAGATCATCTTCACTGCTTTTCAGAGTTGATCAGTGCTTTGATTTTTATGAGCATCAGTGTAGGGAAGACCAGACAAAAACAGTATAGGCAGAAGTGTGTTTAGGGCTATTTCAGGTATTGTTGGAAATTCTGTCCTAATTCTAAGCCCAAATTCATTTAATGACCTTTCTTTTACAAAACTCAAATTAGCAACTCAAGCAACTTTTTTGGGGGTAGGAGGGTCTTTTTTTTTTTTTTTTATTTTTTTGAGACAGGGTTTCCCTGTAGCCCCAGCTGTCCTGGAACTCACTATGTAGACCAGGCTGGCCTCAAACTCACAAAGATCCACCTGCCTCTGCCTCCCAAGTGCTAGGATAAAAGGTGTGCGCCACCACGTCTGGCTATTTCATGATTTTTAAAACTACATTTATTTAGTTTTAAAAATATTTTTATTCTTTAGGAATTTCATACAATGTATTTTTTAAATATTTTATTTATTATTTTATGTGTATGTGTGTATTGCCTGCATGTAGGTAAGTGCACCCGTGTCGTGCAATGCCCTCGGAGGACAGAAGAGGCTGTTGGATCCCCTGGGACTGGAGTTACGGACCGTTGTTAGCTGCCATGTGGGTGCTGGGATTCAAACCCGGGTCTTCTGCAAGAACATTCAGTGTTCTTAACTGCTGAGCCATCTCTCCAGCCCCTCATAATACAATGTATTTTAATCTTAACATCCCAAATCCACCCCACCTCTACCCCTCCATCCTTCTCTTTTATATTTTTATTTGTGTGGGGACCCACAGAGGCCAGAGGAGGGTGTTGGAACTGGAGTTATAAGCAGTTGTGAGCTGCCTGATATGAACACGAGGAACTGAACTTGGGTCCCCTGGAAAAACAGCAAGTGCTCTTAACATCTGAGCCATCTCTCTGCCCCCCTCCCTTTTTTCTTTTTCTTTTTCTTTTTTTTGGGGGGGGGTCTTTTTGAGACAGAGTCTCCCTGTAGCCCCAGCTGACGTGGAACTCTATGTAGACCAGGCTGGCCTTTTGAACTCACATAGATACGCCTGCTTCTGCCTCCAGGGTGCTGGGACTAAAGGAGTACACCACCATGCCCAGCGTTTATTTATTATATTTATTTTATGTGTATGAGTGTATTGCCTGCATGTAAGTCTGCATGTATGTGAGTGTTGTACAGTGCTGCAGAGGTCAGAGAGGGCTTCAGATACCCCTGGAACTGGAGTTAAGGATGGTTTGTAGCTGCCATGTGGGTACTGGGAATCGAACCCAGGTCCTCTGCCAGAGCAGTCAGTGCTCTTAACCGCTGAACCATCTCTCCAGCCCCATCTTTTCTTTTTTTTAAATAGCCCATCGAGTCCAGTTTGTGTCATTCATATATACTCCTGGGTGTGGAGCCAGTTACATTTCTTTTTATTTATGTATGTGTGATTGGTTGCATGCACAGGTCAGGATGGATGTGTGGAGGTTAGAGGATAACTTTTGGGAGTCAGTTCTCCTTCCACATATGGGTTCCAGGGATTGAAATCTGGTGGTTAGGCTTGGCAGCAAGCAACCTTACCTACTGAGCCATCTCATAGATGTCCTCCAACCCTGTTTGTTTGTTTGTTTTTATTTGATACAGGGTCTCACTGTGTAGTCCCAGGCTGACCTGGAACTCACCACATAGCCCAGGCTGGCCTTGAACCTGCAGTAATCTTCCTGCCTTCAGCCTCCTGAGTACTGGGATTATAGGGTTGTACCACCATGCCAAGCTTAAAAGCTGTGTTTGAAGGACAGCATCAGAAAAAGGGGATTCAGGCATTCATGCTACGTTCTCTATATAGCAAAGCTTCAGCTAAGCGACCCAAGGTTCTCCTTTTACAGTTGACCCTGTCCTTAACTCTTATTGGAAGAGAAACCACATAGGGGTGACTCCATCTTCAGAGAGATTAACTTTTTCTTTGGTCTTTTTTTTTTTTTTTTGGTCTTTTTGAGATAGGGTCTCCCTGGAACTCACTATGTAGACCAGGCTGTCCTTGAACTCACAGAGAGCCACCTGCCTCTGCCTCCTGAGTACAATGAAAGGTGAGTGCACCATCACACCTGGCTGAGAGATTAACTTTTAAATGGTGTCATACCTTAGTTAGGTCTCTGGATACCAAGTCTCTTTGTGGTAGATATTCTCCTCTCTGTGCTTCTGGCCCCTTGAGAGGGAATGAGCCCAGGCAGATGTAAATGTCTAGATTGGTTCCTTGCCACTCTGGCACACATCTGCTTAGTCCATACCTAAGTGGCCCCCTCCCCTGTTGTTTGATGTGTCATCAGGGGGAGGCAAGCTCATTTTAATACAAGTACAGGTAGTGTAATTAGGTCAGCAAATCTGCAGTTTAACAAAAACTGGTCCTGACAGATTTCAGGTCCTACTGAGGAAGGATATAAACACAAATAACTAAAAATGTAATTAAATAATTTAAAGAAGCTGAAAAGCCAGGCATGGTGGCACACACCTTTAATCCCAGCACTCATGAGGCAGAGTCAGGCTGATCTCTGTGAGTTCAAGGATAGCCTGGTCTACATAGTGTTCCAGACCTGCTGGGGCTTCAGGGAGAGCCTGCCTCAAAAAGACCAAAATAATGAATGTAAGGACACTGAGAATGGTGGTATAAGTTTGTAATCCCAGATACTCTGAAGGCTAAATCAGGAGAATAGGAAGTTCAAGGCCTGCCTGGGCAGCTTAATGAGCCCTTGGGGGTATAATTTATTGGTACAGTGCTTGCCTAGCATGAACAAGACCCTAAAGTTCAGTTCCCGTCATCACACACCGATACACATATAATACTGTAGGGTTTATTCTCAGAAACAGCCCCAGAACTCTGCAAGGTTAGGGCTTGACCCTGCCCAGCCTGCTCTGCTCCCCTCCTCTAGCCTTTGGTGGTCCAGTGCTGACAAGGCTTGTGTGTCTCTTGACAGCAGATCCTTCTGGTGTTGCTGTGGTAGAGTGATTGGCAAGTGTGCCCTACTGTCCAGTGATTCTCAGCTCCTGGCTCCTAGTCTGGCTGACCTCTCTTTTTCCTGGGAAGATGTTCCTGGTGGGCCTAACAGGAGGCATTGCCTCAGGCAAGAGCTCTGTCATCCAGGTCTTCCAGCAGCTGGGCTGTGCCGTGATTGATGTGGATGTTATTGCCCGCCATGGTGAGTTAGAAGGGGACGGATTATACACAGCAGCTCCCCTGGGCTTCCTTTCTTCCATGAGCCCCCCCCCCCCCGTTTTTTAATTTTCATTTTATATGTATGCATGTATTGCCTGTATGTAGGTAAGTGCACCCATGACCTACTGGCGGAGGTCAGAAGAGGCTGCCGGATCCCTTGGGACTGGAGTTATGGACAGTTGTTAGCTGCCATGTGGGTGCTGGGATTCGAACCCAGGTCTTCTGCAAGAACAACCAGTGTTTTTAACCACTGAACCATCTCTCCAGCCCCAGCCCCTTCTTTTTATAAGTCTCTTTGGGGCCTTCAAGGACAGGGAGGCTTTCTGGCCCAGTTTTCTATCTGCTCCATCTTGTCCTTGAGACTCTTCTCACTCAACTCCATCACTAGCCTGAGGGATTCTGTGAACACTGCTTTTTCCCTGCATTTTTGTTTTTGCTCCAACTGAAAGAAGCAGCCTTGGGTTCCCCCATCAGTATATTTCTGGTCACTTGGATTTTTCTGACTGGTTTAGAGATTCTGGAGTGACCCAGCTTCTTTATACTGTAGTTGTCCAGCCAGGATACCCTGCCCACCGGCGGATTGTAGAAGCCTTTGGCACTGAGGTCTTGCTGGAAAATGGTGACATCAACCGCAAGGTCCTGGGAGACCTGATCTTTAACCAGCCTGACCGGCGGCAGCTGCTCAATTCTATTACCCACCCTGAAATCCGCAAGGAAATGATGAAGGAGACCTTCAAGTACTTCCTCCGAGGTGAGACCCTGGTCTTGGGAACTGAAGGGAACATAGCCCCTCCTTGTAGAACAGGAACTTTTTTCTGGAGGGTGGGGGAAGCTGGTCATGCAGGCTTCTGAGTTCGAAGTGCTTATTGGCACTCCCATGTCTGAAGGGAGAGGTGGGAGGGCAGAGAGGCTGGCCTAGGCCCAAGGAGACCTTCCTACTAGCCTTTGATATGTGTAGCCTCTAACCTGGGCCTCTGAGTAGAAGGCCTAGAGACCAAGTTTCCCATCATTCATGATGTGGAGACTTGAATTCCTAGAGAGTACTGGGGCCCTTTTTGGCTTTCTTCTGTAACCAGGGCCAGGTCCCTCATCCTTCATGCCTCAGATTCTATGTACAGAGTAAGGAACCTCCCCCCAACCTTTCTTCCTCTGGCTAGTACTTCCCTCAATAAAAAGAGGTGACAAGAGGGCTGGAGAGATGGCTCAGCAGTTAAGAGCACTGACTGCTCTTGCAGTGGACCCAGATTCAATTCCTAGCACCCACATGCCAGCTAACAACCATCTGTAATTCCAGTTCCAGGGGATCAGATGCCCTGTTCTGGCCTCCAAGGGCATTGCACAACATAGGTGCACCTACTTACATGCAAGCAATACACTCATACACATTAAATAAAAATAAATAAAATATTTTTTAAAAAAAGAGGGTGATAGGCATCCAGGCTGTTGACCCCCTCCTACCTTTTCATCCCTAAAGCTTCAGAAAGTCTGGAGCTGGCTCCTAGCACCTCTTGCTGTTTGTCCTAGTGGCACCTTACCAATGCCTTCTCTTCTTCCTCTCAAGAAAAGTCTGGACTCTGCCTTTGTCCTCCTCCTGTGTCTGCCAGTCCCTCCCCCGCACCCTCCCCCCCAAAGCCTTCTGCTTTTCATTCCTGCCCTTTGCATTTGCTCCCAGGCCAGCTCCAAGTACATCTGCAAGGCTGCGAGGCGCCAGTGGCTTTCCCCTTCTGAAATGAAGCATTGGATAATGTCACCAGCTCCAAAGCTTTCCCACTGTGTCATCCACCCAGCCTCCCCACCTCCCTAACCACCATTGCTTAAATAAAAGCCAGAAATCTTTTCAGCTCGATAAGGTGAAAAATGGGGACGACAGCTGTGGCTTCCAGAGTCCCAGTTTCTCCCTGATGAGTATAACAGATACAACTGTCAAAGTTGGTATAATCAAACGTCAGATAAGATCACCAGCTGTTGGGGAGGTCTCTGCGTAGGCAGGCGGATATCTTAATAGAGTCAGGATAGTTTGCAGGGCTTATCAAGCAGGAGGGATGTGACAGCTGAATAGCCCTTTACCAGTGAACCAGAGAGCTGGCCACCAGCTCCCAAGAGAGCCTCGAGAAAGGACAGTGAAAGGAGGAGGGAGTGACTGTAGTGGAGCAGGGAAGGAAGATAAGAGGTCCAGGGAGGATCTGGTCTTTTCTCTGGCTCTGACCTGGGGAGGGTAAAATGGGTGGAGAGCCTCAGTGCTAGCCTCCCTCCTCCTCAGAACAATAGTAACAACAGTTGTGATTTAGGGGACATAGTTAGGGGCTAGGGTGGTGCTCATTTAATCTTTCCCATCATCCTGTGAAGTAGGTATTCCTTTCACTCATTACAGAGGTGAGTTTGTTAAGGTCTTGTGGTCACGTGGGGCTGTTAAATGCTGCAAACCAAGACTTGTCAGCAGAGCTCACTCCTCATCAACTCTTAGGCTTCCTAAGCCACAGGTCTTGAGGATCAGGAACTCCAGCAGCTGGGGTTGTCACCCCTATCGCCTGTATCACATTGAATACTGACTTCCAGTGTCACCCTTGAATTGGTGTGGTATGTGTGGTTCTGTGGTTGTGTTTAGAATGAGATACCCATCCAGGCCAGGGGTCTCTAGGCAGCAGCACCTGTCCTTACTGTAATGTCCTGCACCCTTCCAACTTTGTTCATCCATTCAGGGGACAAAGAGAAGCAGATGTGCACAGAGTCTGCAGGGACGTGCCCACTTACAGTGAGCAAGGGCACCGCCTTCATCCTGCCTTGATTTGGGGAGGGCCAGTGTCTTTTTTCCATTGAAAGAATCCTGTAGTGTTAATCTGAACCACCCACGCTGCTTCTGCTGCAAGAGGCAGCCTCTTAACTTTGGAGTAGCTGCTGCCGATCTGGAATGGTACAGGTCTCTCATGCAGAGCTGCAGAGGTAGTCATGGGACCATGCCTAGACCTGGCTCCCAGGAAGGAACCTCTGCTTTGGGGTTTTTTTTTTGAGCTGGTATGAAATAGGGCAGAAAAGTCTATTACTCCCAGAAACTCTACCCCGTCTCCCACAAGTCTGGCTGTGTCTTGTCCCAGCTCAGAACTAACTTTCAGAGTTGGAGATCAAGGTCTGCCCTGACAGCCTGATCAACTTGGCCACACTGTGGTCCCAACCTCCACTGGGTCTCCTAGCTCCTTGTGCTCTGCTGGTTCTCACTCTGGAACTTGTAGAACGCCTTACCTCACCTCTTTTCAACAATCAGCATCTTCCCTGCTTTTCAAAGCCAGTGCAAATGCCAGCCCTTCTCCAAGGTCTTCCCTGATCAGCCAGCCAGAAGTGATTTTCTGCAGTCTTCTGTGCTGAATGGCATTGGAACTGGCTGGCACTCAGGGTATATCTGTCCCTGGAAGATCTCCCATCTGCTGGGGCACTCTACATAGGGGCTAGTCATAAGCATCCCTCCTGGTGCCCTTGCAGAATTGAATTTGGGTGTTTTCCATCCTCTCTCCAGGATACCGCTACGTGATTCTGGATATCCCCCTCCTGTTTGAGACCAAGAAGCTGCTCAAGTACATGAAGCACACGGTGGTAGTGTACTGGTAAGTGAGGCATGGTCTGGCTGACTGGGGGGAAAGGAGGACACTTAGAATAAGGTCTACCTGGAAAACATGACTTTGCCCCTTTCCCATGGAGTGGCAAAGGCACACAGTGGTGCCTAAGCCTGTAGAAACCAGCTTTTGTACCAGATCCTGATACACCTGGGGCAGGTATGAAAAGTGAGGAGCCCTAGGTCTCTCTAGTGTTTGGGAATAGCTCCCTCTGCTGGCCTCTGGAGACACTTTAGTCAGCTCTCTGGCTGTCTTGTTACTCACTGACTCCCTCCTGAGAGCACTTCACAGCTTCCCAGACAACTCCTGTGCTTACTGCTTCACTCTCCCACTTTCAGCATGAAGTACTCAGGGCAGAGAGGGACACTTCTGAGTTACAGAGGGAAAATTGAAATGGGGGCAGCTGTAGAATTTGTCTAGGCTCACCCATTGGCAGTACTGAACAGAGCTTTGTGGACACAGTTGTCAGAAGCCCCCTAAGGAAGCTCTATTCTCCGAATCCCTCAAGGCATAAAGCAAACCAGAATCTAGGTTTGGCAAACAGGAGACTCAAACTGCCAGGGAATGAGTCAAGCCCCTGCGGGTGAGAGTAGATGAGGCTGCAGGGTGTCTCTGCTTCCCAGAAACTTCCTAGGTGTCGCCCACAAGTACAGCAGACACATAGATGGGCTTTGGTTCTGCAGGTATTTTGAGCACAAGGTGGTTCTCAAGAGAATAATGTGGGAAGCTCCTGGCACACTGGAGGTGGAGCCTGGAATGCTTAGTGCTCTGAGCTTCGCCTTGTCCTTCTCTCAAGTCTCCCATGGACTGTCATTTCAAACTTAATCTGAATCCCCTGGGCCTAGTGTGGGGAGGCAAGTATCTTCTCAGCCCTCCCACTGGGCTGTGCTTTTCCATGTGAACTTTCAACCTCTCCTTTTTGTTTTTGTTTCATTTTGTGGTGCTGAAGATGGAACCCAAGACCTTGAACATATTAAGCAAGTGCTGTAATAACTAAGCTGTATCCACAGCCTCTCTGGGTTTTGTTCCTATTTGTGGAAAATATCAGCTGAAGCCAGGAGGGCCCTGTGAAGTCCTGGAATTCTCTTTACTTTACTAACACAAATGGAACTCTGTACCCAGGAATCCAAAAACAGAGGAACTAGATCTTGTGGTGTAGGTGAGGAAGCAGAACAGCCAGTTGCTTCTGCAGTTCCCGAGACACCATGCCCTCCCTTGCCACCTTCTCTACCAGCACATCTTTGAGATTTGTCTGTTTGTTAAGAGCAGAAATAATTGTGGATTCTGGCCAGAGAATGGGGCTTTGTTGGTGTGGTGCTGCCTGCTCTCCAGATCTTCAGTGCTGTGCTCCCCTTTAGGCAGAGGAGCTTTCACCAGAATCCTGGATTCCATTCTTGCCCCTTTCCAGCACAGGAGAGTTTATGTATGACTCTCTGGAGAGGTCAGTGGGATAGGTAATTATTTGCTTTTCTCCAAAAGGATCTACCTCGTGAACCATTCCTGGAGCATTTGAGACAATATGGAGCATTTTCTAAAAAGTGATTGTACTTCAACATGATACTGAATGTTTTTGAGGGGTTTCAAGTTGTGGAATAAGTGAGAAAAAACCTATAGCCACAAGTAGCATCCAACCTTCACTGTCATGGTCCTAGTTCTCAACACCACTAAGGGCTGTTGGTGGTTACTGCCTTTACACCCAGAGGGTCTCTGGTCTGCACCACACCTTTGGAAGGGAGTCCACTCCCACACAGCTGCAGGCCATCTTCATCCTCTTATAGGTTCCCCAGCCACAGACGTGTGCATTCCTAAGACTAGATGTGTTCCTATCCTTAAGTCTTGCTGGGAAAAGCTCTGCTACATCCTCTTTTTGCGGGGGAGGGGGGTCTTTTTGAGACAGGGTCTTCCTGTAGTCTCAGCTGGCTTGGAACTCACTATGTAGACCAGGCTGGCCTCGATCGATCTCACAGAGCTCTGCATGCCTCTGTCTCCTGAGTGCTGGGATTAAAGGCGTGTACCACCATGCCTGGCTAAAATATTTTTGTATGAGTGTGTTGCCTGAATATATGTTAAGTACACCCATGTTGTGCAATGCCCACAGAGGCCAGAGGAGTTAGAGCCCCTGGAACTGGAGTTACAAATGGTTGTTAGCCCCTGTGTGCATGCTGAGATCCAAATCCTGATCTTCTGCAAGAGCAGCCAGTGCTCTTAACCTCTGCACCATCTCTCCAGCTCCTATATCCTCTAATGAAGGAGGTTCATTTCCATGGAGCGGGGCTTTGTGTCTGGATTTGTTTACTGTATTTCTCAGGTCCAGAGAAGAGCTTGAATGGTCTATCTTTCTTCCCATTTTATAAAAGCAGAGAAAACTTAGACCAACTAGCAGTCAGAAAGAGCCAAATGGTAGAAAATAGCTGCAGTAGCCTGTTCCCCTCTGTTCCTGTTGGGAGTCTGGGTAGTTCAGAGTTAAAGGGTCCTAACAGAACCAATCACAGCTTCAAAGGGTGGCTCCTATGTGGCTGCAGGCAGGAGAGGGAGTTCCTGAGGAAGAATGCAGATGGTGATCTCAGAATGGGAAAGGGGGTCCTGTTCAGCCTCTTCTGCAGTGCTTAGTCCTGTCCCAAGATGGAGGGTCCATACTTTGAATCCTTGCTTCTCTTTTTGAAGTGCCTGTATATTACCTATCCCACTTCTTCAGTGGCATCAAGCACAGAGCAGTCATCTCAGTAGAGTCCTTTTTCCTTAAATGTTCAGGGGTGGGGTTTGGAACTGGGGAGAGGGTCATGTGATAGCTAGGGAGCTAGTTTGGATATTGCAGGTCCAGGCCCCCAGGAAGAAGCATTTTTGCTTCCTAGTGCAAGCTGTTCATTAAAAGTCACCTATGCGGGGCCTGGAGAAATGGCTCAGTGGTTAAGAACACTGACTGCTCTTGCAGAGGACCTGGGTTTGGTTCCCAGCACCCACATGGTGGTTAACAACTGTCTATAACTCCAGTTCCAGGAGAATCTGACACCCTCTTTTGACCTCTGTGGGCATTGCATGACACAAGTACACTTACATATATACAGACAATACACTCACACACATAAAATAAATAATAATTTTTTTTTTTTAAGAGTCACCCATACAGGGGTCCAGATGTAGTTGATTTCTAGGTGATCAAATCCTGTTATATTGAATCTGAGAAAACTCAGTTCTAGCAGCAAAGCAGAGATACACCAGGTGACAGAAAATTCCTCGTTGGTGTTGGGATAGCAGATGGCGCATAGACCTATCAGGTGGCTTACAAAGGGTGGATGAGGTAGGAGGGATCTAGTGAGCTTTTGGATTTCCCTTCCTGGCTGGGATTTCAAGTAGCCCAGAGCAGCACAGGATTTGAGGGAAGATGCTATCCCTAAGCAGCGTTTCAGACTGGGCCTGACCTAATGGCCCAATCCTGAATCTTGCTGTTGAGAAGGGAGACTTGGGTCTACAGTATATTTTTGCCCTGTCCTTAGCGACCGAGACACACAGCTGGCACGACTGATGAAGCGGAACAACCTGAACCGTGAAGATGCAGAGGCACGGATAAATGCCCAGCTGCCCCTAAAAGACAAGGCCCGCATGGCTAACCATGTTCTAGACAACTCCGGCGAGTGGAGCTTGACCAGACGCCAAGTCATCCTCTTGCATGCCAAGCTGGAACGCTCCATGGAGTACCTGCCACTGAGGCTCGGGGTCCTGACGGGTCTGGCAGGCATTGCCAGCCTCCTCTACCTGCTTACCCGCTACCTTCTGCCTTCCCCTTAGCTAGGTAATACACCAAGGCAGGAAGCCTTAGGTCTTCTCCTTGGAGGCCTAAGTCCGGTATCACATCCTTAACATTACACTCACTCTGAATCTGTAACTGGCCCCTGTGCTGGGCGAGTTCTTTGGAGTGTATCCTGTCTAGCTGAGGTGGCAAAAAGCAGCCCACTGTCAGTAGGTACCCCTGCCCACTCTCCCTCTGCCCCTTGTACCCTCTCCTGCCCCCTGCCCCCCAGTACCACCTACAGAACAGTATCCACAGTAGCAGGAAAGCAGCAGTTAGCAGTTTCTGTGACCCTTGCTGGTGGTTACAGCTATGTGGCCAACAGTTCCCTGGGCTTTAACCTTCTCTGAGCACCGGCTCCACCATGACCAAAACCTCCTTAGTAGACCACAGCAAATCCTTGTGGACTCAAGGGCTTCACTTTCAAACAGGGCTCTCTCCTGAGTTAAAACCTTCTGCCAGGGTGTAGTGTGAGTCCCCTCTGGGGGATGCTGTGGCCAAGCCAAAGCAGAGTTCTTAGGGGAAATCAGCTTCTCACGGGGCTTTCTTCGGCTTTCCTCAAAATTTACTCCTACCTCCCACCACTCTGCTGTCTCCTAGCCCTGTACTCTTGGTATTCCCCAGGCCCACATCTGTCTTACCTCTGTGCCTGCCCCTGAATCCTCTTTGCCCTGCAGTATCTTCCCCCTGCAAGTGGGCTGACCTGGCTTCAGCACCAGGCCCAGGCTGAGTTAGGTACTCTAGAATGTCACCCTCCCATGTTTTACTTTAATCCATGGTAGAATGGTCAGCCAGAACCTGATTGGTTTCTCCTAGACTGTGCACCTCTAGAGGACAGGGCTGGCTTGCTGACCTCTGTGCTCTGGTGTGTAGCCTGCTCACCATTGGTGCTCAATAAATTGTACTGGTCTAAAATGCCTACTGGGTTCTGTTTGACCTCTGCTCACACTGTGCCCCAGCAGGACTCCAGTCAGGTCCTGTGGGCCTGCCTCTGTAAGAGGTGGATGATGGTACTGGACAGCATCATGTCCATTTGCCCATGGCTCCGGGTTCCTTCTCAGTCCAATTAGACCAGTGCAGACATGAGCCTTCCCTACCAGTGCCTGCAGACCTGCTGATGTGTAGCTCTTGTTCCCAACAGCCTATTAAGGCCGAAAATGAGTGTGACTAATGTTAGTGCACCCGTGGCCAGTTTTAATGCCCACTTTTCCAGAGCTGCACATACTTCAGAGACCAGCTCATTAACTCCCTGCACATTCCCAAGGAGCAAAAGAGAGCCAGGACAGTTAGTGAGCCGCTGTGAGAACGTGGCAGAAGCTACCTGGCCCTGGTTTGGTGGGGTCTGGCAGAACCTGGGAAAGGGGAGGCAGTGTATGGACTTGGGCAGTGTCCTTTACGCTGTGGCCGAGAAAAGGACTGGCTTAATGCTGTGGCATGCGCAACACAGTCATGTGTGTAACAGTCACTGGTTATGCCTATTCCAGGTGCAGAGATGGAGGGGTTTGATTTGGGTCACATAGGTTATGAACTGCGTACTCTCCCCTCTGAGGAGGGACAGGAAACCCAGGAGTGGGGTCCAGTTCTGTCTCCTTGCAGCCTGACTATCCTGCCTTTGCTTTCTACCTACTAAGTAGAGGTGTGAAAACCCTTTTGAAAACTGATGTTCAGAGTTACTTCTTTCCTGGCCCAGCCCAGGCTGGGCCAGAGTTTGGTACAGAATGAGAGAACACTGGTCTGGAAGATGTGCAGAACCTGCCAGTGCCATCCTGCCCTGGCCCTGACAGCACCACAGCTTCCCTGCCACTCCCACAGTTCCCTGCTTCCTGGACCACTGTCCAGATCTGCGGATCCAAAGTGGCTTTGGAAAAGGACCTGGCTCTCTGGTGTTCATGCTCATGCTTCAGTTCCTGTCCACTTGTGGAAACAGTCCACTGGAACCCAGCTCCTCTGGAGCAGGTGTCCTCCCATGTAGCCAGCAGGTGGCAGCACCCACCCGAGTTGAGGCTGGGCCCAAGCAGCCAGCTCTGGAGGAGCTCTTCCTGACTGCTTGAGACCAGCATCCTGCTCTACAGAGGCACTGGTGCACTGCCTGGCCTCAAGCACCAATTAAAAAGATGTGTGTGAGCCAGATGTGGTAGTGCATACCTATAATCCCAGCATTTGAGAAGCAAGGTAGGAAGACTGTTGAGAGGCTAGTTTGAGCTACATGGCCATATCTTGTGTCACAGAAACAAAACAGGTGTACAACCTTGTCCTTTATAGGCCAGGACTAACCTACAGTTCGCAGCTTGGGCTTTAACACCTCGTGCAGCTACGTGCTCACCTGCTTCTTGACGAGAGATGAAGGATGCTGCCAGCCCTTAAAACCCCTTTCACAACCCCCAGGTCCAGCCTGGCCCCAGAATAATTTACAGTTTGCAAGGTACATTCCCACAGTTGTCTTGAGTCTCCCAGTTCTGCTAGGGAGTGAGGGGAGTGGGGGGTTTTAACGAACAGCTGCGACTCCCATCCAGCTGGATTCCCAGCACTGAGAGCCTCCTGCTGCTCTATCAGTTACAACTTTATCAGTTATTGACAACTCTTCAGATGTTTTCTCTGTCCTTAGGGGTCAAGGGGCAGGGCAAGAGAAAGCTTGGGACTCTTCTCAGCCTCCCAGGTTAGAAATTAGATGGGAGCAGGAGGATCTCTGTGAGTTCAGCCAGCCTGATCTACATAGTGATTTCTAGGCCAGCTGGGGCTACAAGGAGACCCTGTCTCAAAAAGACCAGGAAAAAAAAAAAAAAGAAAGAAATTGGATGGAAGAAGCCTAGTGTCTGCAGAGATTGCTCCTTTTTCTCAGAAAGGTACTCAGGTCAATAAGCACTTGAGGTTCAGGAGCAAGAGAGGGAATGGAGGTAGTCATGACCTCAGGCCACCAGAGCATAAGGGCAGCCAGGCAGGCCCTTGGAGATGGAGAGAATGCACCCAGAGAAGGTGGTGATAAATACCCCAGGTTGCTTTCCTGTTCTTTCCAGGAAAGGGGTAATATGGCTGGTAGCTCCTACATCCCCCCCCCTTTAACCAGAAGTGGGACCCACTGAAAGAAGTCTCTTTGCTCCCCACCTCCTCCTCCTTCCATCCCCTCCCTGTTGGTCGGATTCCAATACAATTTCCAGCTAACCAGCATGTCGATAGAACAAGTCGGGCGGCCCGATAGCTGGCCAATTACAGGAAATCATTCTGCTCCATAGCTCAGTGCTCAGGAGAGGGAGGGAGCAGGAGCCCAGCTTGCAGGCTGGGAAGGGGCAGGTGAAGGTAGGGAGCCCACAGCCCCCCCTCCCCTGGGCTGGGGGTGGGGGATATGGATCAGAGGCTCCTGGGGACACTCCAGCCTGGGGCTCTTCCTCAGCCTCACAGAGCTCTGGATCTAGCTTTCTTGTGATGGGAGACTGGTGCCCCAAGCCATAAAGAGATGCAGAGGCTGAAGATCCATGAGGAGGGTTCCCAAGGCAAGGCTTTTGGATAAAGAGGATAGGAGGGCCATGGATGAGACTAGGGGCTGGGCTGGGGTGAGGATGGCACCCAGGTCTCTCACCCAGAGGAACCCTACAGGGCCCATTTGAGGACCTAGAAACTGGCCCACAGCAGGCAAAACTGCTTCCAGAGCCAGCCCAAACCAAGGAGACACTGGCAGCCCTAAAGTAGGAGTGTCAGAGGAGCAGAAGGAAAGTTGCCCAATCAGAGTGGGGATGGGTATATAAATAGACACACATGCACACACACACATGGGCCACGGCTTGGTGAATAGGGTAAAATTTCCACCCAGCCTTCCTTCCATTCTAGAAGGTAGACCATAGAAGTGTAGGAGGAGGCAAGACCCTCACCTCCCAGCCCCTTGCTATAGGTCACCCCTCTGGCTCTCCAGAAAGGGCACCAAGTTACGTCCACTCTTCATCTGTCATGGTCCTTGTTCACTTGATGTCTCTTTACCAATTCCACCACTTCTCTCATCAGTTCTCTCCCAAAAATATCTTAAGCCATCCTCAGAATGCCCATGCTCAGACCCTTCCTTCCCCTCCCAGCTTCAGTAAGTTCTTTCCTTGCCCTAGGTCTTTCACCCAAGTACTGAAAGATCCTTGAGGGACAGAACTTATGAATTAGCCCCAGTCCCCAGTCTCCAGCCAATGGCAATTGTGACTGTCTGAAAAAACGAATGTTACTGGTGATCTTGTCCTCTGCCCTAGGCTGTAGTCTCTCTCCCAGATGCCTCTCCAATTTCAGGCTGGGACCTGGGATGGATTCACTGCAGCTCTTTGGCCCACTCAGTGGTAGACAGCTTGACAGACCTTAGGCGGAGGAGGTGAACCTGGGGCCCACAAGATGCAGAAGGAACACAGTTGAGTCAAGGCCATTTTCAAAGTTCCTCTGCTGAGATGCATTGGGGAGCAGCCCCCGGGAACCCCTTCCTGAGATCTCTGCCCTAGTTCGCAGGCTCAGACATAAGGGGGTGGGGTGGAGGCGTCCAGGCTGGCCCTGTTTGTGGGCACGGCTTGCTGCACAGTGGTCGTCCATTCAGCAGAACTTAGATCTAAGCTGCTGTTCCTCGGGTCTAGTGGCTCCACAGTCCCCTCTGGCGCTGCCTCTTGGGCTGAGCGCCCAGTGCTCAATGATTCAAGATCCAAAAGAGGGCACTGGGCCTGCCCGGGGCCGCGGTGCCTCGGGCTTGGTGCCATCGATCGGGCCGCAGGGACCCGGGCGCGCTGCCTCCCCACCCCTTGCTTTTCGCTTTTAATTGAAGTCTGTTTGAGCAGAGCGCGGAGCAGGCAGAAGCAGAAACCAAATATTTAGTTGCTGCAAATTGGCACCTCCAGATCAATTACCCGGCCCGTGTCAGGGCTTGCGTCCCCCCGCCCCGCACCCCGCGGAATCTCAATGCCGCGGCGTGGGCAGCCCGCGCCGCCCGTCTCCATTCTGCAGCACGTTTCTCATCAGCTCCAGCCATACATCACCCATGGCCGCCGGGGAACAGATTCTCAATGGGGAAAGTTCCCGGAGAGAGTCCTTGTTGCTGATTCCCACTGCGTCCTGCGTGCGCCATTAGGCCCCGCCACCACCTGCCCGGTGTAATAGGGACAACCCAGGGGTGCGAGTTTCAAAGGACTTTGGGTCCCACGCACCTAGCCGCAAACCTAGCAACCCGATGAGTGACCTTGGGGAAGTTTCTCTCCCTGAGTCTGGTTTTCTCTATTTGTAATATCGAGCTTTCAACCTTCACCTTGTAGGTCATCCGGCAACTGAGGGGAAAGCATCCTGCTGGCATTGGCACAACTGGTTTTCCGTATGTAACACTCCTCTGCCTGGGCTGGGGATGTAGGTAGAGTGTTAGAGTGCTTGCCTAATGTATACCACTAAGCCCTAAGTTCTATCCCCAGCACAGCATAAAACTTACTTGTTTGGGCATCTGCCTGGATATGAAAAACACCGTGTGTGTGTGTGGGGGGGGGTGATCCAATCAAGCCTGAAAATCTGGGAGAGAAGCAGGAAATAGCCCCCAAGGTCTCTGGCAGGGCTAGGGGGCTATTGGGGCTAGTCAGGTCCCTTCCAGGACTCCCAGCCAGCCAAGTATGTCAAGGATACAGTCACCTGGCAGCTGCTTTTTCAACACCACAGAGACTCCAGGCCTAGAGGGAGCCAGAAAACGGCCATGACCCCAAGACTACCTATCACCAGGGAAGAGGGGGTCAGTGGGATTTGAAGATCATGGGTAAAAGCTCCTGGCCCAGGACACTCGGGCACAAAGAGAGCCTGCAGGAATCAGGACAACTGGACAGTAGAGAGTCTGTCCCTTCTCCCTAAGCAAGTCACAGGGCCTCAATTATCAATGTGTCAAGTAGGGCCGGCATCCTCTGCCTCCCAGTGCCTCTGTGAGGAGAAAAGGT